GGGAGCCCCACCTCTGCCCTCGCCATCGCGGGGAACGCCGTGTAGCCCTGTCTCACCAGCAGCTGCAGGTCCGCGGCGAAGGCTCCCAGGCTCTCTCCCTCGCAACGGTGCCGAGCCGCTAGCTCCTCTCTGGACCTCTCTGCTGACACACTCTGTCCGCAGCGCCGGTGAAGTGCTCTCTTCAGGGCGGGCAGATCCGTTTGTTCCTCCGGGGAGAGGTCGAGGAGGACCTGCAGTGCGTCGCCCTCCAGAGCGAGTGTCAGGCGAACTGGTGTTAGGTCGAGAAGGACCTGCAGTGCGTCGCCCTCCAGGGGTCAGTCCTCCATACCTGGGCAGCTTTAGTTCTGACCTCGGTGGCAGGAGCGACTCACCCCCGGAGTTCAGCACTGCCCTGGCCACAGACAAGTCCAACATGTGGCAGTTGGCTCTCTGTTGGGCAAGCCGTGGCACGCTCGCGCCGTCTGGGCGAACGCAGGTCCTTGGCTCCAGACGTAGCCCTCTCTCCAGCCATCCCAGCTGGAGGGTGTTCTCCTCTATTTCCCTCTCTAATTCGGCCAGACTCCTCTCCATGTCGCTGTTCAACGAGCGCGTAATCCCACTTCGGACACCAATGTGGCGCTCCACTGGTTCAGATGAGCAGAGCTGGCCTGACCCTATCCTAAACTGTGACATCTAACTATCCAGCTGTGTGCTGGCACCTAGGCTGACATTGAGGAGAACACCTTCTCTGTCTTTTCTTGGCTTTTATTGAACAGAATAAGAATGCAAAATGTAACTGCGATATACCTGGCACCGTGTGCTCACAGGAAAAAGAAAATAGCAGTAAAAGAAAGCAGTAGCAACACTCCCTCAGGGCATTCCATGTTCCGCGCCAACTGCGATCACCCTGACACACCCACCTGTTACCCCTCTTATACTCTCCCGTACTGGTTCCTCCCCAAACCCCACATTGGACAGAACAGCGCGGGTATTTCACCGAAACAACGGTAACCAATACATGCACAGCTTTCAACAACAGTGTCAAACCCATTTGCACACAACAAAACACATGAACATCGGCAGCCGGTCAGGGTCGCCACAATATTAATAAATTTTATCAGATAGTAGTCTAGTTAAGACTCAACCATACATGTCTCAAGCACGTTTCCATTTCAGTTTTGTTACAGTTTTCTGTGTGCAAGTTAGACCAAGTAAATTTCCACCACATTTTGGAACTTATTTGTTGAAATGTGCAGACATCCTAGGAATGAGTTGGATATTTTAGGGGCCAAATGTAAAGGTGCAGGGGGACATCCTTCTTCCAACTGTACAGTGCAGCTCATATTTAATCAATTTTACATGCACTGTTTTGTGTAGTACAGGTCCGTAAAAAGAATCACAGATTACAACAGAAAGTAGCAAGGCTGTTTTATCTAAGCATGTAAGCTACTTTGGCCAGCCTGTGCATGTGTAATACCTATTGTAGAGCAGGAAAAAGAAAATCATTATAAAATGGACAAAAGGACATTAAAAACAATACTAAATATAGTTCTTATACAAATTATGTTTCTTAATGTTTATATTTGCATATAAAAACGATCTTCTATAAAAAAAAAGTAGTATAACAGTTTTTCCTCAAAAAAGTTCAGTGAATCTCTGTAATAGGCCTAAGAATTTGCCCGTCATTGTGAATTCCAGGACTTTCAAATATATGTAAATGTGTCTACAGCACCCCCCTAACCCTCACCACCACGTGATTGCACCACTAGTGATGGGATCATGTACTGTATTCATTTAGGCAACATTCGACCCGCCTAAACACTTGCTAAATATCTTGTTATAACAAGAAGCCTCCCACCCTTGAGAATCACTAACAAGATACTGGTTCTGGTTTTACTGGAGAAAAAAGCCACACGATAGTGCTGTGTTTGGATGTTGTAATCTAAAAAAATGCCAGAACCAAACATGGAATAACATTTCCCATCTAAGAAGTTATCTTACAATATTTTGCATCAACAAGCATGATGAATTTGATGTATTGCAATAACTAAGTTAACTAATTCTTAATTCTTTTGAGCTAATATAATGAGACTTTTAATACAAGAGGAAAGACGATAACAGTTCACATATTAATGTTTTTAGATAGACTTTTATCTTAAATAATTTTACTTTATTTGGCCTTAAACTAGTGTTTCCTAACTCTTTATTTCTCTCAGAACCACTGCACCTCCCACAGCACATATCTAAGCATCCACTTCACTAAGGCCAAAGACACTGAGTGTACGGGAAAGAACTTTAAGTGACGAAAGGCCAAATGTTGTGTTGCCTCACCACGCCTTTGTCAGGGCCAGTTGGGTTGAAAAAATGGCACTTGAACGCACCCCACAGACTACAGCCACTGGCCAGCTGCTACATATAGTATGTATCCTTATTCGTATATTCTATAATGGCATAAATAGTTCTGTATTATTACCATTTGGTACATGTAATAGATTTGAGGTGAAGAGGGGTATCCGACAAGGGTGTCCAGTTTCCCCTTTACTTTTTATTATGGCTGTCGAAATATTAGCCATTATTGTAAAAAAATTAATCAGCTAAATGTAATGGGATGTCCATTAGTTATAAGTCAACTTGCGGATGATACAACTTTATTTCTTAAAAATGCAGCTCAGATAACAAAAGCTCTCAACGTCATTTCTTCATTCTCACAGGCATCAGGTCTTTATTTAAATTTAAGTAAATGTGAGTTGTTGGCAATCCATGACAATCCTTTAACTCATATTGAAGGAATACCAATCAAAAAAGAAGTTAAATACTTGGGTATTACTGTGTCTAA